GGTACCGTTGTGAAATTGACATGCAATTCCATAAATGGCAGATCACTTGAAATTATATCAACACACTCGATCCTAATTGGTATCCAATAATTTCGATTACTTTCTTTGTTGTAAATCCACATTAACTAGAGCAGAAACATTCTTGACACGGGCAGTTGTAGTACATTTGAATTTCTGAGCCGGATCAACCTTTCCGGTCCCAGTTTGTACTGTATCACCCGGACATTAGGTAAATAAAGCAGACACTTCATAGGACTAGCCGGTGCAACAAGGTTGACGCGGTCAGACTTTAGGTTGAATTTACTTTTACTGAAGGGTCAGAGGTGCGTGATTGAAATTGTATATTAACTGGTTGAAGAAATACCAGATAGAAAATCTATAATATTACTAGAAAAATGAACGCGAATAGCAAGTTGTAAATAAAAGGTGAATTCAAGTGATATCTGATATGTTTTCAATGTTATTATCTTGTTGAAGAGCTATTGTGAAGAACAAAAATGTTTTAAATTTCTTATATATAAACAAATAAACTTTTATTTTTTTCATGCTTGTTTGTAAAATAAAAACAACATGAGCTACGATGTCACAAAGTTGTACTGGTGATGTCGCATAAAGTTTACCAGCTTCTTCTATGTAGTTTGCAATGATGATAGGAACACTTCTTCAATTGTTGAAATCAGAGAAAAAAGGGTTTCTTAATGATCATAACAAATTTGTCTATTTACAATAATAAAACCCCTCGATCCCGTGAAAATGAAATTCCTCCGCCAGTCTCCAGTAGAGTCCATAGCTGACAACTTTAGAATGAGATATCCTTAATCCCTCCGCTAGTCTCCAGTAGAGTCCATAGCTGACAACTTTAGAATGAGATGTCCTTAATCCCTCCGCTAGTCTCCAGTAGAGTCCATAGCTGACAACTTTAGAATGAGATATCCTTAATCCCTCCGCTAGTCTCCAGTAGAGTCCATAGCTGACAACTTTAGAATGAGATGTCCTTAATCCCTCCGCTAGTCTCCAGTAGAGTCCAGAGCTGACCACTTTAGAATGAGATGTCCTTAATCCCTCCGCTAGTCTCCAGTAGAGTCCAGAGCTGACAACTTTAGAATGAGATATCCTTAATCCCTCTGCTAGTCTCCAGTAGAGTCCAGAGCTGACAACTTTAGAATGAGATATCCTTAATCCCGATTATTTAATCTGAGTATCCAATGAACACACTTTTGATTTTCTTCTTAAACCGTTCTTTCTTGGATTTAGTAGAGAAAAATTGAAAACCAGTTTATCTAAATTAGAGAGTTCCTCCCGTTTCTGTATATTTATCTTAAATGGCGCGCAAAATTTCAAATTTATCGGCTTCATTTACGCGACTCTGATTGGTTGAATTTTATACACTTTTCAGGATAAAAGTACAAGATTAGGTTAGTCTCGATATTATAAGAAAAAGAGAGGATCAAGCCACTGGCAGCCGTAGTACATTTGAATTTCCGAGCCAGGTCATTCTTTCCGTTCCCAGTTTGTGCTGTACCTAGCTTTATGGACAGGACTAGCCGGTACAACAAGGTTGACGCGGTCAGACTTTATACTTCATATAGGTTGAATTTACTTTTACTGCAGGGGCAGAGGTGCGTAAAGCATTAATCTCGATATCCACCATTCTAAAGTTTTCAGATAATATCTTCCTACTAACTTCTTTGACGCTAAGTTTTTCAGTCTTTAATTATATCTTTGGTTCAACATCTGTAACTGCTTAAATTTTAATTAGATCATTTTTCAGGAAACAAAATGTTTTTATAGATTTTTTCCTTAATCAGTGAATAATTTATAAACACATTTTTTTTGAAGACGACTTGCATGCCCTTCACATTAAAGAAAAGGATCAATTTCAAATATATTTTAAGAAATAAAATGTATCATGTTTTCCTTTACTTTAGTTTCTGTTGGCTGTTTTGATTTATATATACAATATCATATTACATATCAAAACTTGTTTTTGTTAAAATATTTATTTTGAAATTTGTGCAGTGTAATATTCAAACCTGTTTTTTTCAATTTCATTTCAAACTAAAGAGAAGATATTTTCTGAGAAACTGTTACAGCTGCCCCCACCAATTTTTCAAAATGAATATTTTATGATCTATAAACTTGAAAATGAATATTTTATGATCTATAAACTTGAAAATGAATATTTTATGATCTATAAACTTGAAAATGAATATTTTATGATCTATAAACTTGAAAATGAATATTTTATGATCTATAAACTTGAAAATAAATATTTTATGATCTAAAAACTTGAAAATGAATATTTTATGATCTATATAACTTGAAAATGAATATTTTATGATCTATATAACTTGAAAATGAATATTTTATGATCAATAAAACTTAAAGTAATTGCATTTAAAGAGAGCACGTCGAATTAAAGTAAATTTCGAGTTAGACCACGTGGATTTAACGGTTCTGTCAATATTTCAGAAAGCTGTAACTTTCTATCACAATTTGACCCATTATACATAATTGTTTAACCTGTTTTTTTAAGTACTTTTTTGTCGGCATATACATTTTGAATGAAAAAGTATAAATAAACAAATCTGTAAGTTTAAAGATGGTTGAATTATAAACCAAAACACGTTTTATTTCAAATAAAAAACAATGAATGCTTCTCACTCTGGTTAGTTTGGGGTGGGACTGAAATTAAAATACAATTGAGGGAATTTAGGACTACTAAACCAAATCTAGAGAGGCGGCGAGGTCTCAAAGTCTCAAAATCGACGAGAATTTTGATAATTAGTACTACAAACCTACGGCTAAAAACCTGTGGTTTAAAGTTCTGAAATAAACATATCTAGAGTTTTAAAAAAGTAAAGTTAGATCGTGCGGTACAATCAAAGCCGAAGGCATTGCGAAAATTTTGAAAATTGATGCAACTTTCTATATCTGTCTGGATCAATGTGATCAGTAATGTTGCATAATAATTAATATTTTTCTAATAATTAATGTGCATGAGAATAGGAGAACAATTATGTGCTTTGTCAGTCATTTATTCATACATGACAATGCAGACATCGCCATCTTTTGGTGGAAACATTCAATTTCAACAATTTCGCAAAAGGAAATGAGTTTTTGTCACAAACTCAAATTGTCTAATCCCTATATCTTTACAATCTGATTATGTAAACCTTTGATATTTCAAACTTGGATTATTTGGTCTAACAGAATTCATAGTTTGAAATATCAAAGGTATACGACATTGAGTCGCAAAGATATAGAGATTAGAAAAGTAGAGTTTGTGACAAAAATCAGTTCCTTTAAAGAAAAATTTAAATTTATTTTCAATGAAAGTTTGAAAAATCGTCAGAATCACGTAGAAGTCGCATATTTTGAGTTTTTATTCTTTGGACACTTTCTCACCTAGCTTAAACTTTCTTAGCTCTAGACATGTTTATTTCATTACTATTAAGAAATAGTTTTAGCTTTAGTTTGGAGAAAATAATTTTGACAAAATTCTCATTGATTTTTACTTGAGAGCTTGCAACCTTTGGGTCACTAACGGAAAGATTTCCGTATTCACTATATAGTGTTTCTAATAAAAATGTTTAAAATATATGTTAATACATGAAGATTAAAGAAGACAATAAAAAAAGAAAATACTAAATGTCCTGAAGTTTTCTTTTGTTGATCTGATTTTGTTTTAAAAATATTTTGTGAAATTAAATTATTAATCGAAGATGTATTTTCATTTTAAGTCTCGATTTTATGTTCTGGGTCTATTTACTTTCTTGGAATTTGTATGCGGAATCCAGGTTGTACAACCTTTCTCTCTTAACAATCCCAAATCTTTAATTCTGACAACAATCAGCATTAAAATCTAAATTTCAGAAATCTTTATTAACTTTATAAATTACAAGCATATGGCGTGTTATTGCACGTGTTTTCAAGTAAACCACTGCATAGGCGACCAATGTGCATTGCATTTAAATTTGACATAAAAAGCGAGAACAAGTTTTTAGTATAACAATTTTATACATAACGTTCAACTAAATTTATTATTTTTAAGAAAAAAGTCAGATTTAGCTTTAGAATACATAAATAAAATTAATAAGAGCATTTTTAATGCCTTGAACATAAATTTATGGGAAAACAAATGATAAAAAATTAAAATTTAGAAAGTTCAACAAAATGAAGAATTTAACTTGAAAATATATTTAACTTTTAATAAAAATTTTATAATTAGCCAAGGACTGAGTTCTTGCCACCCACCCGAATAGTTCAAACTATGAGTTCTGCTAGTTCAAAGATTTACACCATCCGGTTGCCAAAATATATGGAGAAGAAAATTTGTGTGTGTGGAAAGAACTCATTCGTCAAAATGATGAGAAAGGCAGACTGAACGGGGCTTTATTTTGTACTATAGGAAAAATGCCAACTTTGACAATTGGTTGTTTTTTCTATTTGACTTACATCTAACATTGACACTCTTACAGCGTAACAGCAATCTCTTAAAACTAGAGAAAATCCACTCAATTGACTGGATTGTTTAGGAGGAGTGTTGTTCAATTCATATTTTAATGTAACTCTTGATAAAGACGACAAACAACGAACAAGCTTTTAATTTTTAAATTGTACTTAAATTTAATCTTTATTACGGTTGTATAGAAACCTCGTAAACATATATATTGGTTATATCCTCAAGATCAGAACAATCTCTTTAAAGGTTTTCAATATATTCTATTAGACCAGTAAGATTGAAAGACAACATTTATATTATGTTTTCATTATTCTTAAAAAAGTCTTTAATATATTTTTTAAGTTGAAAAAAAATCTTTTGATATATTTGAGATTAGTTTTAAGCTCTGGACGAGACGGATATTTAGTCATTTAAATATATTTTTAGAGTATTTATAGCTATTTGATATATAATCTTGAAGATCAATTAATTTCGATTTGAAAAGAATATTTACATAAAATTCTGAGATAACAATTGTTTAGCTCTGACAACAGACTGAAAAAGAAAGGTATTTTAGGCAGTATTTTGATTCATGTACATTGTATTCTGTACTGTTTACCGTACAGTACAATTAAGTTCTCTACCCCAGACTGAAGTACTGTACACTGTGACTGTCAGTTAGGTACAGAATAGTACAGTACATTAACTGTCATTAAGGTACGGTATAATACTGTACATTAACTAACAGTACGGTAAACTTTACAGTGTAGTACAGTACCTTCATGTACAGTATAGAACAGTACGGTACATAACGGTAGAGTACGATGGTCTACGGTATAGAATTATGTAAACCGAGCACAAGCTTTCTTCCATTTACACTGTGTACACCATTGATCCTTCTGCTCTAGACCAAACAGCTGAAAAATAAAATGAAAATTAGTATTGAAAAAATCTTCTTTCTTTTTTACAACCACATGCATGAAATTTATTTTTAAACTTAATTTGTTCCAAAAAAATTAGCCGAAATGTTTCGGTTCACAACGGTATCCATAAAATCTTTGTCTTATCAAGTATCAAGGTATCAATGTTTATAATTTTGAAAACTGATTATTTTCAATTGTGGTTAATCTACAAAAGTGACTGGTGTTTTCTACTGCAGGAAACCCACAGAGAAATTAATAGAAATAAGACTTAAAGCTAGAAAACTACATTATTTTAACATTCTATACAGCAGATAATGGTTTCAATGTTACAGTTGTGAATCGGGCATTTCCTCTTTAGATGGACGGTCCCATGAAATTACACCATTCACTTTTTATCTCAAGTTCTTTAAATTTTCAAAAATTATTTATAGATGAAAAAAAAGATTTTATAATTTGTACCTTTAAAGATATTTGTTGCATTTTTCAATTTGATTAATTATATTATTATCACTATCGTTAAAAGACAACCCATTGCATTGTTCAGTTAAAATCGTTGAATAATGAATAATGATATTTATATTAATAATTTAATTCAATAAAAACTAGGCTTTTCTTTGATTATTTCTCTGCAAAAGTTGGATTTTTCGCCTCTAAGATACAATGGCGAAACTATCAGAACTAAACACTTTGAGTCAGAAAAACTTTTTTCTTCAACTTTTTGATAAAATTAAGCTTTCACGGGTATAGTTGTAAATTGTACATTGCTATCTTTGCTTGGGGGGCCACATGAAATTACGCTTGCAGTCCTTCAAATTTTAACTCAGCTAAAATTATTAGATTTTTTATTAAAATTATTCATGGATTTTTCAACACTCTTGGGTTTAATCTGGAGTTTAAAAAATTTCTGTAGCATGATTTAAGAAAAAAATGTTCATGAAAAAATGTGTTTTTCTTGTAAATAAATTATAAGTTCGAAGGGTTTGAGTAAAGGTTCCATATCTCACCTTTCTGCATTTCCTGTCACTTTTTCCTGGAGTTTGTCCTGGAGATTGTCCTGGAGGGGTGAACACAAAAGGTTTGGAAGGGTTTGCTGCAGGTTTCGGAACAATAGAAACCAATCTCTTATTCATCCAACCCTGCTCCGGGTCCAGTAGAGGCTGCTGAGGTCGGTTCAGTGGCTGCCCGGAGATCAGATAAAGAGCTGTGGAGGGTTTGGCCATATCAAGGTGCTCCGCTATAGACTTCTGGAGGTCGTAGCCGAGGAGGCCAAGGTTAGAGGGGGCAGAGGTCGCTAGAAGGGAGGGAGGTACGGCGGGTGTACTTTGTGAACCTTGTATTGTACTGTTAGTCAGGATTTCTGTTGTTGTTGCTGTTGAAGGTTGTTGATCAATAATAAAATGCGCATCAAGGATATCTATCTCGTCATTTTCAATCTACAATAAATCATATTTTATTTTTCTTATTCGCCATTGTTACACAGATTTGACCCAAAACGCTCTTATTTTGACGGTACGATTTTTAACATTAATGTATTTTTAAAACTATTTGTAATGCAGTTCTAGTTCGCTTATATACGAAGAACTGTTATTTTGTTACAAAATATATTTTTTAAATAATGTTTTAATTTTCCCTGATTTTTTAATCCAATAAAGTTAGGTTAAATTTTTGTTTTCGAATTAATACTATTACTAAAAGTATATAATTTTTAAGTTTCAACTATATTAGTATCATTTATAATTTTCCTCACCTCATTTAGATCTTGCTGATCTGTATCAACCTCTGTGTAATAAAACTCTTCCTCGAAATCTCGATCATCCTCCGGCCCTGGCTCCGGCCTCCCCAGATGACCTCGAACATGAGTCTCAATCTTGTCCAGATCTCTGGTTATATGAGAACAGCCTCTCCAGGTGCATTTATGCATCACAATACTACTTCTCTGAACCTTCTTCACAGGTTCATCCTCGTCCAGTGCACTATCAGAGGATACTGGAGAAGACTGAAGGGTGGGTGTAAAGTGTGATGGAATGGTCCAACGGTCGTTCGGACTCACAGAGAGGTTCATGAGAACCATAGCTGCCGTACACTCTCGTATATCTTCACCGGACCGAAGGAAGGAAGAGTTGATCAGATCGTCACGGGATTTGAGAAGGGAAGACGATAAACTAGAACTGTATCCGCTAGAACTACACCCACTGCTGTATCCACTCTCCATGTCGAGGCGACTCTCACTCGTTCGACGCTTTCGAGATAAAGGCACATCAATACTGGCACTTGGACCTGTGTCGGAGATGGGTCGCATCCGGGGAAGGTCTTTCTTGTCGGGAAAAGACGACATTGAGTGAAGTCGTCGTCGATTTTGTCCGTCTTTCAGCTTTCGCCGCTCCTTACAAATGTTTAAATCTGCCATCCTAATACAAAAATGCAGTTTTAAAGTCAGTGGCATTTATAGAAAAAAAATCAAATCCAGTTTGGACAGATCGTAATTTTTCCAACTTCGGAATTTAAGATCAAGATAAAAACACCTACATCTAAAAGTTGATTTAAAAATTCTCTGATCATGCCAAGCAAGTCAGACTATAGACCTTATCGCAGATTAGGGCTTTTAACCGTACTCCCAATTTCCCAAATTGTACCTTGAAAAGTCAGTATCTGAGTTTATAAGTCTCGCGGATTTTCTGGATTCCATGAGACGGATTTCCTCCAAGGGTTTAAAGATTGTCCCAACACCCTCTCCCAGCAGCTCTACACAATTCTAAATAAATACAATTTTTACTCACTCGATCCAGAAAGATTTGTACGTTTGTTTAAAATTTGTTCATTTATTCCAGCCCCCTCCCCTCCACACATTCCATTATACGCCCTTGATTTTTGCTAATTAACCATGTATATTTTATGAAATTATCAAATTACACCTGCAATCATATCAAAATAATTTTGAGAGTAACTCTCGTTATACCGTTGAGCCAGTGATAAACATAAAGGGAAATTTTCTAAGTGTATCCCCCTTTACACAATTCCATGCATACAAAACATACATTGTTTACACTTAAAACAGTTTACAATGCGTAGATCAGAGTAGAACTATCATCAATGTATTGGAAAATCAGGAGAAAAAAACAGGTTTATGAGAGTCTACGCAGCTTTGCAGATATTTATAACCCGAGGGATTAAATTCTACGCAGTTGCAACCATGATTTAGTTTCAAGAATAGACACCCTGTGCCGTGTGCGTCAGTTAAGGTCGTAGGGATTTTATAAAACGGAGATTTTTATGCGTAGATAGGTCTTCTAGTAGACAGTCAGGGTAAAGTTGTAGGTAAGTAGGTAAATAGGTAGATCAGTTGGTAAGTAGGTAAATAGGTAGATCAGTTGGTAAGTAGGTAAATAGGTAGATCAGTTGGTAAGTAGGTAAATAGGTAGATCAGTTGGTAAGTTGGTAAGTAAATGGGTGATTAAATAGGTAGCTGAATATGCAGGTAGGAAGGTGCGTAGGAAGGTAGAGCAGTATGCAAGGTAAGTAGGTAGGTATGTAGGTAGGTATGTAGGTACCTCTTGTGTATCATGTGTAATGACAACTCCTTTCACTTCTCTACCTCCCTGGGTTACAAATATATCTTGACCTAAAATAACAAAATAATTAAATATGTAAAAATGCCAGAATCTAAACAAAATATAAACTTTTTTCTAGAGAAAAAAAATCTCTCGATCTTAATTTTTTACCTTTACTAAGCTTAGTGTTGCGAGGAAGTAATGATTGGAAACTTGTTCCAATAATATCATCTTCTGAATAGAAACTCTCCTCGCTGTGAAGGTCAGCGTGGTCCGCTAGATCTACCTGGATATACAGAAATGTTAAATGCCACTTCAATAAGATATCCGCATAAACGATACAGAATTTCTTTATTCCATGAAACATTCATTAAAGGAATTATCAGTGCAACCTGATGTCGTATATATTTGACATTTCAAGCTATGAATTTGTTATCTAATAGTTATATCTAATAGTCCAATCCAACAACTTAGACCAGTTGTAGATAATTGTAAATAAATTAACCAGTAATTAGATTATTGTAAATAAATTAACCAGTTGATAGATAATTGTAAATAAATTAACCAGTTGTTAGATAAATGTAAATAAATTAACCAGTAATTAGATAATTGTAAATAAATTAACCAGTTGTTAGATAATGGTAAATAATTAACCAGTTGATAGATAATTGTAAATAAATTAACCAGTTGTTAGATAATTGTAAATAAATTAACCAGTAATTAGATAATTGTAAATAATTAACCAGTTGTTAGATAATTGTAAATAAATTAAGCAGTAATTATATAATTGTAAATAAATTAACCAGTTGTTAGATAATGGTAAATAATTAACCAGTTGATAGATAATTGTAAATAGATTAACCAGTTGTTAGATAAATGTAAATAAATTAACCAGTTGTTAGATAAATGTAAATAAATTAACCAGTTGTTAGATAATTGTAAATAAATTAACCAGTTGATAGATAATTGTAAATAAATTAACCAGTTGTCAGATAAATGTAAATAAATTAACCAGTAATTAGATAATTGTAAATAAATTAACCAGTTGTTAGATAAATGAAAATAAATTAACCAGTTGTTTATAGATAATTGTAAATAAATTAACCAGTTGTTAGATAATGGTAAATAATTAACCAGTTGATAGATAATTGTAAATAAATTAACCAGTTGTTAGATAAATGTAAATAAATTAACCAGT